TCTATCAAAACCTAATTTATCCCTAAAATCATCGAAACCCAAAATTCAGAGGGAAGAAAAGAAAAAGAAGGAGAAGAAAAAAACATACAATATGGTAGCCAAAGCAGCTGCGGTGATGGAGATTATGCTCCGGCAATCCCTCACCGCCGTTCAGTATCACCACCGCCGCCCTTCTTCTCTCCAAGTCCCCTCCCTCTTCGCTTCCGCTGCCGAATCCTGCTTATTCCGTCTTCTGTTCTTCTCCTTCCTCCACCAACGACGACAATGAATTTGTTTTCCCTTCAAATCAGCGTTCTGAAACGGGATGTGTTTTCTTCTCTTTCCCTCTTATTATTGCTATTAATCTCTTAGGTCAATGTTAGAATATTGTGGGGTTAGTTGAGAGCTGTTCAGATTGGATTCAGAGATGAGATTTTTTTGTGATTCATTCATCAATCTCATATGAGATAGCTGTAAAATCGAGGTGGAGAATTCGACTGTTTGTCTCGTCGATGAGAGGAGAAGAAAAAGAAAACAAAAAGAAAAAGAATTAGGCAGTAAAAATGGTTAAAAGATGGGGAGAACCGGATAGCTTATGACCCGGTATTAATCCGGTAATAACCCGCATACTGTTCAACTCCATGAGAGTTTGGAATTCTAAATAATAGCTTCAAGCCCGAAATTGAAATCATGGCATTGAAAGCCTTTTGGCATTGTGTCAATGCCAAGACCATCTTATCTTTTAACAGTCGAACATCGAATTTGGCATTGGGGGCCCAAATTCCAAATCCAAGTCCCCAATGCCATGCAAACGAACAGAGCCCAGAAGAATGATGGAAACATTTTATAGAATTGTTAAGTATAAATTTCATTTGGTGGAATTCTCATAAACAGGATGATTATTCATGTACATCAATATCTTTGAGTTGTTACACCTAATCATCTTTGGTTTTGTTACTCGTAAACTGGTGCTTATTTGACTTTTTCTGGATTGCTTCTTGTTCATTTGAGGTTTGCAATTTCTTTTTTTTTTTCTGTTGTATAAATGGGTTCAAGTCGCACAGCTTTTGAAATGCTTAGGTTTGCCCTTTTCTTGTTTTCTATAGGTATGTTCTTAAGTGAGTTTGGTGTCAAGATCCTCTTTCTGCACATTTAATTTATGTGAACAAAAATTAGTGTTAAGGAAAATCTTTTTGGATTGAGACAAAACTCTTAATTCATTCTCTTTCTCCCTCTTTTATTTTTCTCATTTGTGGAGGTTAGGGAGACTGGAGAGGTAGACCACGGAAATGGAGAGGACGTAGGCCAACAAAAGTGGGGAAGACAAGTTATTAATCTTCTTGAAATGATTGTTTTACCCAATTTCTAATTTTTCATTATTGAAATATTTAACATTTAGAAAAGAGTGAAAAACGTAGCCGAGTTTCCCCCATTATTGGTGAAAATAATTAGCATCATCATAAGAGTCTCACTTCTGATTTGCTGAAATTGTTAAAATGATGAATTAGTTGTCCAATGAGTTCTTGTTTTCGATCTGTTAAAGGTACAACAGAATATCTATAAATCAATAATTGATAAATTAATAACATTTATAAATTAGTAATTTTTTCCGATCCCTAGTCTGAACCAATACGAAAAACTAAGGTAATCAATAAGATAATAAGATAATAACTTTTTAGAAATCTCCTATATAAATATAGGTTCCGTCAATATAATGAATTAATGGTGCCTAGAAATATTAAAAAAAATTTAGGAGCTGTAAAATATGAATCTAATAACATTTTTTTTTTCATATTGCAATAAAAAGTATCGGAAAGTTATTGCCTCGTTAATCATACTTAATTTCTTACTAAGTCAAAGTTTTAGTGACAGTAGCTACAATATATCTAAGAATTATATTAACTAATTATTAACTTATCGATAAATTAATAATTATTAATTTATAGGTAAATTAATATATCTATAAATCAATACTACCTCCGTCCACAAAATAGTTCAATTTTAGGAATATAAATCATAAAATTAGAGTTATGAGATCATTATAACCTAAAAATAATTATTAAATTGATAACTAATCATGAACTTTATTCAATTTTTCATATTAACTTTTTAGTTTACAAAATTAAGTCATTTAATTTTCTTAAATTTAGTCTTTCAAATTGGATAATTTTTTTTGGGATGGAGGGAGTAATTTTTTAGAGTTCTAATATATTCATCTATAGATGTTTTACTGTATCTTCTGGTTTTGTGTTCTCAAATTACTCGAAATGTATTTGTATTGTGATTTTTTTTTTTTTTGGTACAACGAAAGAACCCAAAACTTAGTGACAAGAAATTAAAACATTTCGGGGATAAGAAATCTCAACCATATCATGTTCCAGGCACTGTATTTGTATTGTGATTTTTTCTCATAATTATTTTTATTATTTTTTATTCGTTTTTCTTTTTTTTTTTTCTATCACCAATCATCACTCGGATTGACCATCATTGGTGCCGCCATCAAACTAGTGCTAGTCGGAAATTTCGCCCAAGAGCGAGCTTCTGGTAGTGATGATCAATAATTAATGGTTGTCTAAACACGCTTTTTGTGTACACACCTTTATAAATTAATTTCAAAGTTATCTGAAAATCTATTTCAACATTTTCTCTTGAGTCTTGTCATGATAGACAATAATTTCATACGAGCTACGGAAAATGGAGATTGTAGCTCAATCGGACAATCCATGTTCATAAATACAATTGTTACTGTAGCATTTTGTGGTAAAGAATTCATATGATCATATATCAGTATCAAACACACCGTACATTGGTTTGATAAGACTACGGTGGAGTGTGTGATTAAAATCTTTTTTACTTATTCAAAAGGCGTCAAGACAATCATATTTTTTAATTTATTAAACCACATCAAGCAGTTAAATTTTTAACTGACGCAAAAAAAAAAAAGCCTAAAAATTTTGGAATTTAAATAACTGGAATCATAAAAGACAAGAAACTGATGAGAGAAAATCGACTTACAAATATTGAGTGGACGCCCTTTTCATTTGTTTTCTTTGAAGTTAATAATAAAATTTGGAACAGTGCAAGAAAGATAGGGTGAAATAAATGGGAGATTATCAGATTTATTATCTCCCTCTGCTCCTTGTTATAAGACATTTTGATTTCGTCCTACGTTTCACCTATGATACCTTTGAAATAAAAACCTTAAAAATATTTTATAATATTTAAGAGAACACAACGAATATGAAAATATATTTTTAAGAATTTTTTTCCTATTAAAAATATATTCTAGATTAAACTTATGACGAAATAAAAATGTCTTATAATAAGGATTGGATGGAGAGAGTATGGTATAGGGAAATTAGCTCACTTCTCCTTTTTTGCAAAAATAAATAAATAATAACAATAAATAATAAATAACGAAAAATACACCGCCCTAACAAAATCTTTAGACTTTTTAAAACACCCGCCCAAACTAGGGTGAAATACGAAGAGAACGGAAAGACTTGGCACGAGCGACGCCGGCACCGTGAAGAAAGAGTCAGATTCCGGCTGACTTGGATTTCTCTGCTCTTTCTCCTTGACTTGAAGGTGATTTCTGGTTTATAAACTATTGTTCTTCACCATACCTATGCATAACCCTCCAAGGCTTCAGGTAACCATCAATCTGCATATTCTCTGTCTCCTTTCTCTTCCTTTTTGCGGGGTGCTTTTGATAGATATTCTTCTGTTCGCAAAAGGTGTTGGGCTTATGATATCATCTTTACTATCCCATTATAATTGTACCCGAAGATAATAGAAAGTACGAAAGCATGTCTTGGGATACTTTGTGGATTGAATTCTCTGTGTTGAATGACAACTGTTCATAAAGTTGACTCACTGGGAACGAGTTGTTGATGCAGGTGAAATACTTACAAATTGTTATCGTTGTTTTCATGATCTGAATATTCCCATGTTGAATTTGTTTTCTTGCTTATAACGTGTTCGACAAAATGCCAGGACAAATTAACTCTATATAAGTTTTGCATATTACTCGAAAGGGAAAATGGTAAAGTTAAAATAAATGGTACTCATGGGTGTAGAAAACGACAACTCATCTTTGTTGATTTAATGTTTCCTCGATTGGTTGCATTTTTTATTTTATGTTGTTTTTTTTCTTATTGTTGGTTGATTTCTGAGATGGAGGAGAACTCCTTGCAATTTCCTTGGTATGGAGAAAAGGAAATTTCTGGGCATCATTGTTTTTTTTTATCAATGTTTCCGCTTTACCCTTTTCTAATGCGTTTATTACCCATAGTGTATTGAAACTTCTTTCCTGATTTTATTTGATTTAATCTTGCTATTGATGTTTACTTGGTGCATCTTTTTCTATGGACCATAGTGATTTAGTCTGTCAAATTAAAACTGAAAATTATACAGTTAGTTTTTCTACATTGAATGAGTGACAAACCTGGGTTTTGTCTGCTTTTGTGTTCCATATTTATTTTGGTTTTGGGTTTTGGTTATGCCGGGTACTATTGTTCTTCTGTGCTCTGTTCTTTCAATTTCGTGCCATTCTTTCTTTAAGAATAGCTGACCAATTCTTATAGTATTATTATATGGGGAAAATGGAATATCTATTAGTTTAATGTCACCCAGCAGGACTTAGAAAACTCAAGAGTGGACCACAACACTTGTTTTTGTTTCTTTTTTCCTTTTGTGAGGATGCAGAAACAGGAAACGTCACATTCTTTCATTTGTGGATTGGGTGATAACCTTTATTTGTAGCTAGATATAAATTTACTTCTTATTATCATTCTTGTTAGTGGAGCAGATTTAACTTTCCTATACTGGCAATATCAGAATTTATCTTGGTATGATAGTATTATAGAAGTTAATATCATAGTTTACCATTAACAAACAAAATTTATAGACTACGTGTTTTTTTTTCCTCTTCTTTTTCTTTCTCGGCATTACATTTGATAGGAGCCTAAAATATTGTAGGTGGACTCTGCAGACCTCATGCCCGAGTCTTCGACTTGTCCATGCGCCTAACACCTTATTTGAAACTACCCCAAATTCATGGAAATTTATCCCGACAGCTCCTTCGATTCTCCACGATTCTGGTTCAGAATGAGGTCCAAACTCTATCTTCTGCGCCCATATCACTTTCACAACTTGACATGTATACCTATCTGTTGGAAGAATGTTTGCAATGCTGCAAGAAATTGCGGGCATGCCCCAAGTTCAATGAAACGCCTAAGAGGCAGATTGTTTCTTTTAAGGTCAACAAGTTAATCCATTCTCAGAGTGTGAAGTTTGGAATCGCCTCAAAAGGATTGCTCGGAAATGCAATTGTAGATTTGTATGCCAAATGCGGTGATGTGGATTTTGCTGAGAAGGCATTTCACCGGCTTGAGGAAAAGGATTATTTGGCTTGGAATTCGATTTTATCTTTGTATTCAAGTGGCGGGATGTTTGGGGAAGTTCTTGAACGTTTCAACTCCATGAGGGATGGCCGAGTGGCGCCCAACCAGTTTACTTATTCTATTGTTTCTTCTGTTTGTGCTAGGTTCAGGAATCTTGAGCTTGGGAAGCAAATTCATTGTTGTGTCATAAAAAGTGGGTTTGAGTGTGATTCATTTTGTGGGGTTTCTTTGATTGATCTTTATTCTAAGTGTGGGGTTTTGTTTGATGCTAGAAGGGTATTTGATCTATTGATTCACCCTGACACGATTTCTTGGACAGCAATGATTTCAGCCTATGTTCTTGGAGGTTTTCCAGAGAGGGCGCTGGAATGTTTTGAAGCAATGCGGAGCATGGGTCATGTGCCTGACCAGGTGGCATTTGGGACTGCAATAAATACATGTATTGGACTTAGAAGGCTTGATGTTGCTTGGCGATTATTCTCAGAAATGCCTCATCGAAATGTTGTCGCATGGAATGTGATGATAACTGGACATTGCAAGCTTGGTTTTGAGATGGAAGCCATCACAATATTTCAGGAAATGATAAGAGATGGTATCAAACCAACACGATCAACATTGGGAAGTGTTCTTAGTGCTATTGCAGGCATGGCCAACATTAATTTTGGGGTTCAGGTTCATGCAAAGTCAATCAAGCTGGGTTTAGGTGCAAATGTTTATGTTGGCAGTTCATTGGTTAGCATGTATGGCGGGTGTAATGACATGACAGCTGCAAAAGAAGCGTTTGATGAGACTAAGGAAAAGAATGTTGTTTTGTGGAATGCATTACTGAGAGGTTATGCCCTAAATGGTTGCCCTCGTGAAGTAGTGGAATTATTGAAGCGAATGACACTTTCTGGTTTCCAACATGATGAATTTACCTACACCAGTATACTGAGTGCATGTGCTAGTTTGGGTAACAAGGAAATGGGGTGCCAATTACACTCGCTGATAATTAAGAGAAAATATGCATCTAATTTATATGTTGGAAATGCTTTGGTTGACATGTATGCGAAATGTGGGGTGTTGGAGGATGCCAAGAGACAGTTTGACCTGATCGGAGAAAGGGACAATGTGTCCTGGAATGCCATTATTGTCGGGTATGTCCAGGAAGAAGAAGAAGAAGAGGCTTTAAACATGTTTCATGCAATGATGTTGGAAGGGATATCACCAGATGAAGTTTCCTTAGCAAGCATACTTAGTGCTTGTGCTAATTTACATGCTCTAAACAAAGGAGAACAAATACATTGCTTCTTGATTAAGTACGGTCTTGAGACAAGCCTTTATTCTGGAAGTTCACTTATTGACATGTATTCGAAGTGTGGGGTTGTTGGGGCTGCAGAAGAAGTTTTTTCTTGCATGCCTGAAAGGACTGTCATCTCGATAAATGCTTTAATTTCTGGTTATGCCCCAAGTGACCCAGGGAAGACAATCAGCATGTTTAGATATATGCTCGTTCAGGGACTAAAACCTTCTGACGTCACATTTGCTTGCCTTCTTGATGCCTGTACTGATTATTCTACAATCCACCTTGGTAGGCAAATCCACTGTTTCATTCTTAAGTTTGGAACCTCAATCGTTGATGAGTTCTTAGCTATTTCTGTCCTACTAATGTACTTGAATTCACAAAGCAAAACAGAAGCTATTGTTCTGTTCTCTGAGTTGCCCAATCCAAAGAGCCCAATTTTGTGGACTGCATTAATATCAGGGCTTGCTCAAAATGGTTTCAGTCAGGACGCATTTAACTATTATCATGAAATGCGGTTATGTGATACCATGCTTGATCAAGCAACATTTGCTAGCACCCTTAAAGCATGCTCAGTAAGAGCTTCTTTGCAGGATGGTAGGAAGATTCATTCGCTCATTGTTCGAACTGGTTTTAGCAAAGATGAACTTGTAAGCAGTGCCCTTCTTGACATGTATGCAAAATGTGGGGATGTTAGGAGTTCAGAGAACGTCTTTGCTGAAATGGCTCAAAAAAAGGATGTCATACCTTGGAACTCGATGATAGTTGGATATGCGAAAAACGGTTTTGCAGAAAATGCCTTGAGAACATTTGAGGAAATGAAATGTAGAAATATAATGCCTGATGAAGTGACACTCCTGGGTATCCTGACTGCTTGCAGTCATTCAGGTATGGTCACTGAAGGCCGACAAATATTCGACGATCTGGTCATCCATTATGGGGTTCAACCAAGAGCTGACCACTATGCTTGTATGGTTGATGTTTATGGACGATGGGGCTTTTTAAAGGAGGCTGAGGAGTTCATTGAGAAACTAAAACTTGAACCTGATCCTATGATATGGTCTACGTACCTCTCTGCATGCAGATTGCATGGAGATGATATACGAGGACTTCACGCAGCAAAGAAACTCATTGAGTTGGATCCCCAAAGTTCATCCCTTTATGTCCAGCTTTGTAATATGTATGCAGCATCAGGTAACTGGGAGGGAGTTAATTCCTTGAGAAAGGAAATGATTGAAAAAGGAGTGAGAAAGTTGCCCGGATGCACTTGGATGTAGATTAAATTTAGTTCAGGTATAACTGCATTTGAATTGTGGTATTACGTAAGACACTGAAATGTTTATATATGAATTTCAATCGCATTTATTTAAACAAAAGAGATATGCAGCCATTCTGACCATGGATCCATCAATCAGATCTTGCTTAGACTGACCAATTTCAGTTGTGGGATTTTGGTTGATCATCTCACTTTCTTTCTGTGAAGAAGGGGGGCATGAAAAAAGGCCTTTTATCTTGAACCTGCAATGCTCTCATCAACTTCTTTCATTCTGGAAAACTGGAATCAGCAATGCAATGTTCCCAGGAAAAGAAGATCTATAGATCACAGAGAATACTGGGGCTTTTATCTTGAACCTGCCATGCTCTCATCAACTTCTGTCATTCTGGAAAACTGGAATCAGCAATGCAATGTCCCCAGGAAAAGAAGATCTACAGATCACAGAGAATACTGGGGCAATGTACTCGATGTTATCTCTTTAAAATTGAGGATCATGCTTTCACTGACGAATGTGGTCATCTCTTGCTTCACAAGGTTAAATGTTATGGAAATGTAAGAACATTGTTACAGCTTTTTCTATTTGGGTCATTGTTGTAATTGTTAAAGTGATCCCTTCTGTTTGTATTTTATTAATTTTACAAAATGCGTTTGCTGTCGTTCTTGCTTGTGCTTAAAGGTATGTAAGATTGTCATCTGAATTAAGTTGTAGATCATGACGGCTTTCTGGAAGTGGGAAATGTTGATTTGGATAGTTCTTCTTTGCCCAAGTATGCAAGATTGTTATCTGAATTAAGTTGTAGGTCACGACGGCTTTCTGGGGGTGGGAAATGTTGTTTCACTAAATTTTTGTTTCTTGTTTGCTTTGGTCCATTCCTTTGCTTTATCTGCAGTTCTGTTTAGTGCGGAGTTACTCGTTTTTCCCGGAAAGTTTAACTGGTTACAGTTAATTTTTTTCAATCAGCAAGCTCATAAACTGGTGATGAGAAAACTTTTTCAGAATCAGAAAAAATGTGAATCGCAGTAAGTACTGGTAGAGCTTGTTTCGAGATACATTAAATTTGTGGGGTGTGTATCTTTGAACTCAATGATCACACTAAGAGAGTTATTTGAACTTTCTAGGTTGCAAATCATACTGCAGAATGTACAACATTGCAAATTGCTGCATGTGGGGGACTTTAGCCCCTATTTTAGGGGAAGCTTCAAGCTTAGATGCATGTCAGAGTATTTGCACAACATTCTTCATCATTTAATGTTCCTGCATGATTGCTGTTGGAAATGGTTTGCCATGGACTCCTAAATTCGTAGTGTGTATTCATCGATATGAAACCCTTTTGGTCCAATCTTGTTGTGCCTTGGGCTTCTCTTGTTGATTGTCTATGCACTAATTTCAAGACATCTTTTAATTCTTTTCAACTAAAGGTTTTATTTTATAACTGTTTCGATAGTTTTCGTTTGTTAACTAGTGAGTAAATTTGTAGTTTGTACTGTGTAATTCTTCTCTCTCACTCTCTGACACCTTAACTCAATCATGCACCCATCTGCTGGTTCACTTCAAGTGATATCTTAATCTTGTTACCCCCCTGAGGTCAGTACTTAGGTGGATATGAAATTCTCGAGCTTTAATTGTCAAGTTTTTTCCATGTTGAATTCTTCAGATTGGATTCATTTTGTTTGCTGTATAAGAGGACTCTAGTTTTAGATTTTGGAGCCGTTAGTTCTAGTGCTTAATGATTTGAGGGAAACTCTATTTATTTTTTCAGTTATTTTTCCATGTCATATTCTATAAGTTTCTAGAATTTGTCCCCTCTGAATGTTATACTCTCTCTGCCCAATAAGACGATCCAATTAGCAGAAATTCTTCAACGTTGTGTTCTTTAGTGCACTTATTCACTTGAGCTAACAAGATAACTGATTCTTCTTTAACATTTCTTTTCTATTCCCTGTAATGCTTGTTTCTCCATGGGTGAGATCAATTATGCTTTCATTTATCAATGACCTATAGCGCTGCTCTTAAACTGATGGGTTGAAGTAGTTTATGATGTTATTAAAGGCACTAGCTATGGTTGCTCAATGATGCTAATCTAATGGCTTGAATCCTTTCCTATTTTTTGAACTTAGGATGACTATTGAAGCTTTCTTAGTTCAGAGAAAACCAACGTTGGATGAAACTTTAAAGCCAAAGGGTGTCTTTTGTCCCCTTTCGATGTAATTATCGTACTGAGATTTCCAAATTACATGCGATTGACTTCCTTTTCTAATTTGGGTATAAATGAAGATAATTAGAACACTTATTCGGCTGTTTAGTTGCTTTTTGGAAACATCATTCTTTGTTGCCTACTTTCCCTTTCTCCCTTTTCCAATTTTGTAAGAGTCAATTCATTTATAATTGATAAAGCAAGTTACTTTTCAGGAACTCAAATATTATCTTCGCACTCATTTTGCTTCCAAACTTAATCCTTATCCTATATGACGTACATAGAGTGATTTGGGTAAGTAACTAATTGGTCAATTTTTTGTTGGTAGCTGCTTAGTTTTGAGTGAATGATAAACGGACTTTTCAGCATGCAATATCCTCTGCAGTTCTCTTTGTTATTTGATTCTTAGATTCCAAAGCTGGGTGAAATATTAAGCATACTTGGGTTGTTGTAGCAAGACGAATTTCAGAAATGAATCTTTGTTACTGCAAACAAATTGGATCTTGTTGGGAGGAAAGGAGAAGAATTTATATCTACATCATATACAAAGCCGTGCCCATAGAAATTTAGACTGGTGTTGTCTGAGGTTTGTGGATGGCAAGCTGTCAAGCTGATATTGCTTAATTTTCTTCTGTTTTTCTGATAGTTTTGAAGTAGATTGTTGATAGGAAAATACTTGATTGAGAGCACCTTTCATTATTTGCATTTGTTCTCAGAAGGCCTAGGCTCTGGAATATGTTGAAAATAATGGATTTGGCTGAATGGTTAGCTTTTCCTGATACATGCACGGCGGTTCATGTCGCAGCTTTTCGTTTTACGCTGTGGAAATTCTGTGTTGTGAAACTTTTCCTTCCAAGGTCGGCTCCTTTAAGTGGATGTTACAAAAAACTGTTCGATGTCTTATAAGGTAGCTTATCTGATAATCTGAATGTGGTTTTTTTTGTCGATCCAATTCAAGGTTAAATCACAAAATGCTGCCTTGTGGCTTCTAGAGGCAATTTAAAATCCATGTTTTTCTCTCTTGATCTATTTACATGAGAATATAGTTCGATTGGCAGCATCAGTTTGAATTCTGGATGAGATTATTATATCCAGCTACCAGGTGCTTCTGCAACATCTCTTCAAGATAAGCTATTGATTGGTGCAGTTGTAAAAGATCTCAGCAGGCATCAACATCAAGACATCAGGCACCGAATGAAGCTCCCCAGTTCTGCCCTGAAAGGAAGGGTGAAGTTGCTTGAATGCACCAATTGCTATGCTTAAAAGAAGTTGCAGTCTCGATGCTAGCAGCAGATCATCTCTAGAAGTTATTGCTAAAGGTACTATCATAAACCTGTTCTTGTTCTTTGGCTGATGAAAGGGAAAATGAGTCAGAAAACTATTTTGGGAGGCTAATGAACAAATTATGAGCATGGTTATACTAGAAAGCTTCATTGTAATTGGTTAAAAATGGTGTGCAAAAAAACTTATGACACAATGATTATGTGTTGAAAATATTGGCTATGGATAAACAGACCAATATATGCATTACACTTGCAAATAATAACAATTGATATGCACCTGTTCCTGACCTATATTGCTTCGTTTGTGATCTTGACAACAATGTAATTTCTATGTACTCTCCACTATCTCACATTCCCCGTCTTATTCCCAGTGTGAAATGAAAATTGCATCTTAAGTTTCTCCTTATAACAAATACATATAAAAAATGGAATAGGGACCACATCCATTTTCCCTTTAGTACTGATTTCTTGTAAATAATGACAAGGTTTTATTCTTTACTTAAACCCCATTCTAGTTGTTTTGGTTATGTCATTTTTTAGCTGCAGCATTGACTGACTTTTAAGTGTATATTGCAGGTTGTTAGAAGTAAAAGAAACAATCACAAAAGCATAGAGAGAGGTTGGTAGTGACTCCTGAGGATGAGGATGTGGACGTTGAAGATGAGACTCCAGAAACAAGGATTCTTGCTTGGGAGATCGAGAAAAATGAAACAATACCATTTGTTTATGAAGTTCCCAGAACTCAACTAGTCGATTTGTTTCGAGGAGGATCTGTCATTGCGCTGGAATAAGTAGTCGTAAGCTAAGTTCACTATACAGATACACTTTGATTGGTTTATCTAGCCCACACCAGCATTTGTTCAAGCTCCTTAAACTACATCGAGTCCACCAAATTTTCACAGGTTTATTTTGCCGCCAAATATCAGTCGGTTTGTTCCAAAATTGTATTTGATTTCCTTTTTTTCCGAACAGACTAAACAGAGAAATCTAACTACATTAGTAACTTACGAGTTCTAATTAGTACTCACTCCAATCTTTATTATTAGATATTCTCTTAAATTTCATTTAGTATGTTCTTCTAATTGAAATAAAACTTTAAAAATGTATTTAACATTTATTGTCTTCTAAGTACTTTTAAGATCTCATTTTTCAATTCGAAAAATTTACCAAATTAAATTTAGGGGAAATCAAAATACCTTAAAATAAGTACAGGAGGGAGTAAGTACTAAGTATCAACTTCTTTCCGGTAATTTGATTGTGAAAAGAAAAAGGAAAAGAAAAAAATATATAGTTATTTGAATTCTTTCTTCTTTTTTTTTTTTTTGGTGTGTATAAATTGATCGCAATACTTTGCAATAGGTATGATTTGGTTGTAAAAAAATGTAATCTGAATATGTCAGAACCCTTCATTCAAGTTATTCATATAGGACACCTTATTCAGACAATCTGCATATTTGCAAAAGTGATCACCTTATTTGGGCTGTCACCTTTCTGCATCACTGCATAAGTTACCACTTGAGAAGGTCATCCTCTTTATGTTCTCACTATCTGTTCAACTCTATAATTGGGTTCACTTAAGAATCTGATTGATTTTCATGGATGTGGTGTCTTGAGTTACTAAGCTCTGAAACTTTTTAAAGAACAGGAAAATACCTAGGATAATGAACCAAAAAAAGAAGGAAACAAAAGAAAGCAAAATTGCATGTTGTTTTCAAGAATGTGTTTGATTCTATTTGCTTGCTTCTTCTCTGAGAGATTGTGCTTATAAAGTTTGGCTTTTTGGTGAAGGGGCACAACACTTTGTTTTTTGACGAGGTTTTGGTTAAATATATTTTTGTGCTATGAATGCTTCACAAATATTCGATTGCTTTCCATTACTTTCTGATGGGATCAAATTGATTTCTGAAGTTTAATTTTGGGAAAAGTTGCAGACAATCAAATACAAAGCAAATGTGAGTCACTGCTTAGGAAGAAACGCTAATATTTGAGTTTTAAATCATCCATCATCGGTGCTGTTGTATTAGGTAATCTGCTGCCACGGACAAATGAACTGAAAAGATGCAGAGCCCTTGAAGGCTGTGCATACGGTACCATGTGAGCCGCGCCCCTTACAGTTGCGAAGGTTAACAAATGTCCATATTCAGTCACCCAGCCTCCAACCTGTTTTCAGGAGAAAGAGAATGTATCAACACAAGAATGATTCAATTTATGCTTGAACTGATTATTGAAATTGCAGAAGTTCAAAATAACCTGGCGCTTGTGGAACCAAGCTCCATATGGAACAGTAACTTGTAAGTTCAATTCATGAGCAAGTTCACGGACAAGTGTGCGCGAGCCAAGCAATGGTACGACAGAATCTTGATCCCCACTGCATATATATTTCACGATTTAAGTGATATTCATTTACTCTGTGCTGTAGTTTTCATATGAATGAATACTTCACCTGAAAATCCATACTGGAGTTCTGTTTTGCAATATTTGCTTTAGAACCGGTAGAATATCAGTGGTTCCATCAGAGTCGTTGTAATTAAGGACACTGCAACATCAACAGAAAAGAATATAAGCAAAAGTCTGGTAGAATATCTGCAGCCTCTTGGTTCCATGGTTTCAAAATTTTAGACTCCTCATTGGTCAAGACAACAGTGGAATGAAAATCAACAATGCTCTGAAGACTTACCTACTACACATGGACCAGCCATATGGTAAATTGGTCCTATTAGCATGAAGAGCCTTCTGAACTTCTGGGAGGTTGAAGTAGAAACGCCTTTCAAATGTCATGCACACATCAACTCCCATACTCATCTTTGTGGCCTGTGAGTATATAAGCAATATTTTATCAGCTCATAGAAAACAAAACAATCGCAGATAAAATTAATTCAAGTGAAGAAGGAAAAATGAATACCATCTTCTTTAGTCGTAGCTCTTGTTCCACAATGGATGGATAGCAGACATCAAGAATCACATCGTAGTTATTTATGTAATCTCCAACTATACGATTTGCTTCAGATATGGCAGAATTGCATTTTGTCGTGACATTGTGAGGACTAGGGAAAGTATAGTCTTCAAAGTCACATTCATTCATGATGGTCAGGCCAATTTCATCAGAAATCATCCCATGAGACCAAAAGAATTCATATGTTGCTGGAACATCGCGATCGAGTTTTAGAAGTGGATTCCCTATCTGAACAAAGTCACCATACCAATGCAGATGAGGCGTACAGCAACAATATACAACTTTAAGAAATCAAATGAAATCATGTATCATTACCGCAACTCCCTTGATGTTGAACTTGTATACTGCAGAATTCTTGTTATGTTCCAGAAGTTTAGCAGCTAATTGAGGAATGTAATGACCTACATGGTTATAAATAGGAAAAAAAAAATGAGAAATCCATTCTTCCATAATATGTTGTCCAATCTCTTCGAGTCAAAAACATAATCTTGCGAAATCAAATTTTTACTCAAACATTAAAGATAAATGTCATCGTACAACTGTTGTACTACATAAGATAGGCAATCAGAGATACAAAATGAAGTAGACAAAAAGTGGAACTAAAAAAAACTTGATGCCATTAGATGAGGTAAATTCGCCTAGTTAAATCATGTGTATGCTTTCCAGTTGGTCCAAAAGTGCATAATTTCCATTTATTTATGAAGCAGCAGTAGTCAACAATGTGCAACTACAGCACGATTTTAGGTGCTTAAAAAAGTACTCTTCAGTAGGACATTAATTTGTCCAAATATCTATAGAAAAAAAAGGGAAAGAAAGAGAAAAGCAGAACATTTTAAATTGACACATGGAATTGAACTTTGTTTCTAAAAAATTACCTGCATAGCTTTCCCCAGTGAGAAACAAATCTCTAGAGATGAATGAGGGAAACTTCTTCAACCATTCCACCATGAACATGTGCATATCCATTGCTGGCACCAAGAAAAATGGAAAAGATTCATCAGCCTTCTCCAAAAACATTTGGAATCAAATTTTGTTTTTTGTTTGTGTATGCATTATTTTTCACTCTTCAGATCTTTGTCCCTTCAAGGTTCAATTTCATTAAGTCTAGAAAATCAAAAATTGGTTAGGGTGCCACATGATGTCTTCTTACCAGTTTTTTCATCACCGGAGTTGTAATCTGAACTTGTATTCGAGTATGACCATCCTACTCCGGCAGGAGACTCAACAAAGAGCAGATTCGATGCTTCAAGAATTAAAAAAATGTCAGAAACGTACACCACAACAGCAAAATCGTGTAAAGAACAGGATTGTATTAAACACTTTTCTCACGCGCATATGCATCATATAAGAAATTTTGGAAACTGAAAAATTTATGGACTAGGCATATGCTGGTTACAAATTTTCAGAATCATCTGTACTGCTTTATACCTTTATTCCATGACATCTTGTTTCTGCGAAGGCCTCGGCCATCGCCTCTGGGGAAGAAGGGACCTAATTCAGTGAAAGCACCTCCACCAATTGATGAACAACCAGGGCCTAACAAATCAAAGTATCAAAAGTAAATCCTCAGTTCACGAGGCGAATTCATTAAAAAAAAAAATAACAGTAACATGCCTAAAAATGAACAAACATTATTTTATCTACATGAAAAGATCCAAAAACAGATATTTTATCACAGAAGATCCTCAATAAACTACTAATAACAGGGAACAAAAGGAAAAAAAAAAAAGGTCAAAAGCAATGGCTTAAGCCGATTACACCGACCAAATTAGACCTTATCATTACAGTAGCGACTAATGTTGTTGATGCAATGATTATAAACTTCACAGAACTCTGAACTTCGTGTTCTGTACATTAAGCTAATTGCCAAAAATCTTACTCACAGATAGTAATACAATCAGTACCATCCAAATGAAGTCCCAACAAATCAAAATCAGAACAAACCACCTCCTCTTTAGTGTGTGTGTGTGTGTGTGTGTCTTTCGAGAGAGAAAAATGCAGGTTCAAAGTCCAGAAGACAGAGGAAATCCAGTTCAATTCTATCATTAAAACAAATAATCAAGAGAAACGGAAAAAGAATGAAACAGAGTCGAGCTGCAAACCTCCATTGAGCCAGAGTGTAAGAGGTTTACGATCAGGGTCAGTCTCAGCTTCAACAAAGTAGTAAAACAAGCTTCTCCCAGCTTTGGAATCCACATCTATGTAACCAGAATACTGTTTGAATCCAACTTCAGGCTGTCCAGGCAAAGCCTTCACAAGATGTTCTTCTGGAAAACCATTCCCACCACCAACCAATAAACCCACAATCACCAACCCCAAAAAAACCCAGCAAGAAGAAGCTCCCATTTCTCTCCCGCCTAAAGAAAAACAGACTTACTTGAGTAGTTGAAGTTTCTTACCTACCCCTTTCCAATAAAAAAGAACCCCTTTTTATCTTTATCCACTCAGCCCACAATTTAAATTCCAAAAATGAAAAAGGATGGTTGGGAAGAATGATGATATATGATGCAAATTTCAGTTTAAAAAGGGGGGGAAACTGGAAACAGCACGTGAATTCTGCAATGCCTTTAACCAAAAACCCAAAAAGAAGGATACCCTTATAGTTCTGTGCATCTAAATTTCAATAAAGACAGATTCTTGTGCTAAAAATAGCAAAATTCCATGACATATCTGTGTGAGAAATGTGAGCAAATGGGAGTTAAAGTTGCAGACTTTTTTCTGCTGAGATAAGTGAAAAACGAACTAGCAGTGTAGTGATACTATCATACAGTATATCAGTTATCAGTCATCTGTCATCATCATCTTCTGTACAGATTAGGCCGTTTTAGTGGTCAATCTGGTTAACAGAAAACACACAAAAAAAGGGGGTCTTGGGAAGAAGCAAAAGAATTGAATGAAATGAGAAAGGAGTGAAGTGTGTATAAAAAAGATTGCAGAGTGACAGTGCAGCAAATGCTGGTTTGGTGAGATCTAATTGGCATCTTTTAAGGTGACCATCAAAGAAGAAGAAGAAAAAAAAATTATTAAAAACTATGATGAATTTGAATGAATAATAAAAACTGCTGGATTTTGGAATTTTGGAGTCATCAGTCAATAAAGTCCTGCCTACCTATAAAAGGAGGTCCAAAGTACACAAGGAAAAGGTTTCTTACACTTTCCGCTAAAGCAGAAAAAGGGGCTAATGTAAGAAATTTTATAAACGGTAAAGATGGGACTAATCATAACTTGCGGATTCCGTTAAGTTGTTCTAAGTTCTAACACAAAACTACAAACTCATGTTGTAACCAAAAAAGATACTGCCCTATTTGATTAGATTGAGATCCTATCCTATATATAGTGCCCTATTACTTGTATGTAACTGGTGATAGATGGGGTAGTGCCAAAATTCAAAAAGCGGGCACAAAAGATAATTAATTGATTGAGATAAATCTTATTGGGCTAATCTATCTCAGAAATGTAATCTTAGTCTGAGCATTTTGCTTATGTAAATATTGCTGTTAAGTAATATATCACATCAATAGCCCAGGCTAAATCATGTACAGTATAAATTATTTGAATCATTTCACTTATTATTATTAAATGGTTTGAATTGGAAGTCTAAGTTCGTCACTAATTACAATATAGTACCCAATAAAAACCATAAGCAAGATGGTTTCCTATTTTTACTGACAATGATGAGTTACTGTAAAACTCCGATGTGAATCTTCAAAAGATGTTATCATTTTGCAACTAATTTTTACTTTCGCTCCTAACACTTCAGTGTTTTTCTTTTCTTTTTCTTTTTTTTTTCTTTTTAAAAATAACTTATTGTCTAAAACTGTAAACCATATCCAAACTAGGAGTGGGAGTAAGCTGCTCCCATTGTCACATCATGAAATTGGCATTGGAATATTTTTTTCTTCATTTATAAGGGAATTCTTTTGTTTAATAGTGTATAGTCCTAAAATTATATTGATAATATATTCTAAAAGGAACCCGAATGTATATATTATCATGTCACTAATAATTGCATTCAACTGGGAGAAACATATTTGGACAGCATTAAATAAAAATACGTCGAAAACAGAATCGCAAAGTTTGACCATTATTTTAAAATTTTTTAAAAAATATTTTTTTCGCAAAATAATAAAATAATAACACTTCAAAAACATCCTAGATTTGAACTATGTCTCTGTCTCTAAATTTTGACCAGTCTGTCTCTTTCACGCTGGGGGGAAAAAATGGAAAAAGAATGGACATTCTAATCGTCATCATCAAATAATCATTAGGTGGACGAAAAACAAATTGTAGGAACCTAAAATTACGAAAATAATCTTGCAAAAACTGACAAGGACTAATTTTACTATTAGTATATTGAAGCAAAAAAAAATTATATATACAAATAATTAGGTTGGCACAAATCTTTTACTATTACTACATGGAAGCGAAAAAAATGATATTGACACAAATCTTTAGCGTACTATCAAAAACAAACAAAAAAAAAGTCATTGAGTAGTATCGATTGTTTCTGGTTGATAAAATCATAAAATTTAATAATTTAAAACAACAAATACAAATTTCTTTTTTTTCACAAAAAATGGAGGCAACTGAACTTCTCGGGGATATACAATTCAGATTACATCATATAAATCAACAAGTACAAATACAAATTAATCTCTAAATCAACAAGTCATTTGTAAAACCGGTTCCCCTTCTTACTAGCAAATTTACAATAAGAATTTAATTCAAAATCTCATACAGTTACTTCTAATTACTTAAATTTTTTTTTAAAAAAAATAATCTTCTTGCAACTCACCAAGACTCTTCTTTATTTCAATTCATGCCCAATTTCCTTTGCATTTTGCACCACTGATTTCCTGTGAGTAGTTGTGCCCGTCGAAATTCTGATCATTTTTAATCTTTTTTCTTTTTGCGGAATGTTTGAAAATTTAATAAATTCTGATTAAGATTAAAGTATTATTCATATATATTAATATTGAGCACACAGTAATTAAAAATAGAGCCAATACGATGAAAAAAGTGCATCGTTCCGTAAGTTTCCCAAAGCAAAGAAGGAACTAGTATTACTCTTAATAGTAAAAATTTAAAATACTACTAATAATAATAAAATTAAAAATAATTCAGTACTTCTGTGAAATTGAGTAATAAGATGGGGCGGAAATGGCTTTTGATCTTCATCGCGTTAAAAAAAATTAAAGATCAAATGGAGAAAACTTATCGTTGAAAATTCCAAATTGTTGTTGACTTTACTCAGTTGACTACGTAGTTTGTGCTTATTGATTGGATGTGTTGAATTTTGTCACTTGGAAGTTGTGCTAGTCACCTGTCTACTTGGTGCACGGTCCTATCTATTGTTATTGCACTAGGGGAAGGGGTGCAGCGAAAGGGAGCGGCAAGCCAGTATTTTTCCCATATTGATAAATAAGAAAGTTTTAATTAGTGAAAATAATATTCAGCAAATTATGTGAAGTTCTTAGTAAAAAGATGTTAATATGAAATATAACTATTTTCAATTGAGTATAAGTTAATTATTGAGATGATAAGATACAATAGTTTGTAAAAACTATAAATTCCGCAGCTACAATAACAATATGTGTTTATTTAATATCGGATATAGATCTTTCTCTCCTTTCTTTCAAGTTCTCCCTCAATCTTCCATTTATTTGATTTCGCAAACCAGCACCAATGAAGGTGGAGTACTCCAAGTAATCTTTTCCATGGCTTGTAACTCTTTTGGTCATAACCATAGCGAAATTCCAATAGTTGATACAATTGAACAATTGATCATGTCATTTCCTACCAGAATATTGGCTTTAATGGAAGTATCACCTATCCATGATGCATGCAAGCAGAATCTTTTGTAATATTGAAAACCAAAAGGGAAGCAAGTGATTGGAATTACCGCATCTGCAATAAAAGATAAAGACACAAATGATAAATATGAACTGGAAACCAGCAACTAATTTCAGTAATTTGTTAAAGTGAAAATGTATTATGTTTTCTTCAGCTGGAATAAGCAGGGATATGCAAATAAGTGATGGCTTAAAGAAGCACATTAATATTTCACAAATCGTGACATCCATGTTGAAACTTGACTCACTGCCAAAAAATCAGAAGACAAGTTTGGCATGACACATTACACCAAATCTTCTATTTGTTGGCATATATAACTTTGAGGAAAGCAAAACACAGGGAGAAATAAGATGATCATGTTGGGGTACAATCAAAGAGAGAGGAAAAAAAACACAGCTATTCTAGTCAGTTAGCAAGTAACTAATAATTGCATTCCAAGCAGTTAGCTAGCCTTCTTTTTTGTTTTGTGTGTGCAGAAGCTCCACCTAAATAGCAAAAGAATATTGAATGAACAATCAAGCAACTTTTTCCAACAATGTTTCCACATGACAAAGGCCAAACAACCCATGACTTTTAACAGATCACATGGAAAAAACCGAACAGGGTAAGTCGAGAAAGAGAGAGAGAATTTCTGATGGTTATTCTCACTAATCTAACCTCACCAAGCTAAAAAGGTCCACTCTTTCTTTGTCAAAGAAAATGTCACTTTACAGAGACACCCTAGCTAAGATTCATAAATCCCAGAAGGAAGCTAAATTAGGTAAGAGAAATATTTGTGGCACCATCATACCCTAGGACCTTTGTTAAGGAGTAATCTAGAGATTTTGTTCACATAAAAGAAAGGGCAAATAAAAGTAACACATATCATAACAGCATAATTTGCCATTTTCAGGAACTTAACAAAAATAATAATAAATTAGTCATTGAATTTGTATCATCGGCTGTCTATGGGGAAAAGTTGCTTCTCTTTCTACAAACTTACATTGATGCCAATCTTTAGACAGGGATAGCTCCAGACCAGACACAGCTAAGAAAACTGCAAATTAAGGAAGAGATTACTTTCACATAATTGCTCGATAACCATCTACAACTCATCAAAATCTAGCACCGAATAACTTTTTTTTTACCAAATAGCTGGAGTTAGCAGCCCATTCCCAATTACCATGCAAGTGCCTAGGAGTACCAAGATGAGTAGAGCAGTGTGCAACGGTTTGTGCTTCTCAAGAAAAGTTTTCACCTTGGAGCTATTGATTCTTTGAGGAGAATGCTCGAGTTTATATGTAGACAGAGCTTCATCAACACCATTATTCTATCATTTTAACTATTTTGGTAATTGGGTGATACCCTCTCCATTGTCATCAGCTCAAAGAACTATAAAAACGTACTTGAATAAAGGAATCAGAGTCAAAGTCTAGAAGAGAAAAGAAAGAACACCCATAATTTCTTCATTGGTCTCTGAATGTTGAATATCTTCGGCAAAAGAACTCTTGTAC